CATAATCACACATTGTTGTGTTAATGGACCATCACCCTAACCACGAACACGCAGCAGGTTGCCTCTATTGAAACTCGAAGCAACTATTCGTCATAATTTTCTTTCGGTTCTCCATAATTTTGACTATTGATTGAAGTCATCGAATCAAATATATTGTGGTATTTACAGCGTTCATCTTGCACGGGAGAGACGGGAAATAAGTTTATTTTTTAATGTAATTCAAAAGACAAATCTTACTGAAGTATTTAACGTTCAGCTGAGAAACACTTCAATTAATTTCTTTAAAGGTTGAATTAACTTTGTTTTCTCTTCACTCAACAAACTGTACATTTGCTAAGAGCGTCAGTATATAAACCGAGAATAATGTTTTCTACCATAGTCTATTTCTATGAGTCTCAAATCAAATTTTGCGTAGATTTCTTCTCTCCTCTGCAATGGAACATGCTACGATTCATGCCATCCCTTCCTAAATGTTCATAAGGTCCACATTGAACTGTTCAACAGATATCAAAGCACCCGTACGTGACGAAAAATAAGGCGTGTAGTCCCGTGATATTGGAGACGAAAGCCTTCCTACGCGACGTGCAAATGTTGAAGAAGGTAGAAGACAAGGAATTCGTGACACCAAGCATTGCCCAACCACGAATCCCACAGGACATTCTGTTTGCTATTGGTGGGCTTCGTAACGATAGGCCGACAGATGTGATTGAAACTTACGACATTCGAGTAGACCGATGGAGTGTGGTGAGTTTCACTCATCCCTGCTTTTATCGTGCCTTGTTAAATGACGCCTCCAAGAAAGAACTGGCTTTTCTATTTTCTGCTTATTTCTACCAATTAATTGCTTATTTATGCTAACTCACAAACCTCTTTGCCTCTTTTATTTCCATGGCAGTGAACACGTTTTTTAAGAGAAGCTTTAATTAAAGTAATTAAAAAGAATAAATGAATAGATTAAATGTTGTGTCTTATGTAAAATTCTAATACGAATCCACGAATGGTATGAAATTTGCCTTAAATACAATTTAAAATTGGCGTCCTACTTCAACTGTCTTGGCAAACTCTCTGCTGATTTTAAACACGAAACGAAATCATCGTTGATCATCAGTGTAGATTTCAACGTAAGAAGTGATGTAATGATCACTGTTGATGTTTACCAGCTGCGTCGTAACGCCGAATGAATTAGAATTCACACTGATTGGTGTGGGTTGGGGGACGTAATGCCTCCAGCTTTGCGTCAATAAAACCCAAAACACCTGCATCTTTCTTCACTACCGTATGAACCTGAAGTGTGAGCTGTTGATCAGAAATTCTAAATGTCTCTGTTAGCAGAGAGAGAGAGAGAGAGAATGAAGTGTCCTTCAGTAACTCGTAAACTTAAAGAGAACTCTGATAATCTTGTAGTTTCTTCCTTCCTACACCTCCCATAATTCACCATTGCTCCAATTTCATTTCTCACGGTCTTTGTCGAGTGTGGTAGGCCCGGTCACCGTTCACGGTGTAGCAATTTCGGTCCGCTGTTGTGGGTTGTACCTCTGCTCCGGTGGTTGCTTGGACTCTAATGTAAGGACTTCATATTAGTAGACCTTGTGACCCAAAGAAACATAAAGCCATGACCTGTCGTTCTTGCAGATGGAGCAGGTCGATTCGATCGGTCCGCGAACTTGTCATCGCACGGCGGTAATAGGTTTCAACATTTACGTCATCGGTGGTTACGAAGGCAAGAAAGCCTTAAGCTCATGTCACTGCTTCAACGCTGTTACGAAGACGTGGCGCGAGGTGGCGCCTATGCATGAACGCAGGTAAGACGCAGCTCGCTAAATGACAAACTCCTTTGAACAGAGTCCTATTTCAAAAGTTTATAGTTGCTCTGCTAGCCAAGATATATATTTGGACAGGGGCTCTAACTTTACCACTCACATACACGAGCTTCATAAAGAGTGGGAATGGGTACGAGGGCATTTGCAACAATGTTGATCGTCGGTCAAAGCCGAATAGAAGTTAATTACAAACTTCGTTCGCATTTTCTCCAAGTTTTAAGAATTTTATTAGGTTCTTAATTCATTTGAATTTTCATTTAACAATGACGAAGCAAGAAGTACTGTATTCTGCGAGAGGAAATGTATCTGTATCAGCAATAAATGAGCATCAACGCCAGAGGAGGACGAAGCATAGCAAAGTCTGAACTTTTTTCTTTTCAGATGCTACTTCTTTGTGGCAGTTCTGGGAGAGATGGTCTACGCCATGGGTGGTCGTGGTTATGGTCAGCAACACGAAACGGCGGAGCGATATGACTACAAGACGAACCAGTGGTCGTGGATCGCTCCTATGAACTCGCAGCGGTGGAACGCAAGTTCGGCTGTGCTAAATGGTAACGGAGAGCCTGTGAAAGTTTGCTGTGTGAATTAGTGCTTAATTTCGAGGTCTCCGTCTGTCTGCGTGTAACAACGCAAGAACGGTTGAAGGAATCGTGGGATCTGAGGGTCTCACGGTGACGAGTACGAAGATGGCTGTTGTTTGGCTTGTAACGCCGTGTACTCTGGTAGAAGTCTACCGACGTTTCAGAGAAACTTTATGCCATCGTCATCAAGGCAGCAAGCAGATCTCAAACATCTGTAAACTAGTAGAAATAACCCTTTAAAAATGAGAGGCGTGATTTATTTCGTAATAATCATATGTCATAATATTCTCTCTCTTTCCTCTTCGCTCTTGAACTGACTTTCTCATTGTCCCACTTTGTTTTATTATCCATTTCTTTTATCCGTGCTATGTACTACGTTATTTCACAGACTCCAACGACTTG